CGCGAGCTGCGGCTGATACTGCCGCCGTCTCGCCTGAGCAACATGTTGCTACCGGCCTGCCTGAGAGCCGAAGACTGTTGTCATCCCGCCCTCGCAGGTTGGGTCGGGTCAACCCGGTAACCCGCACGGGTTGGGTTTGGGTTGACAATCCTGCCCCATTTGCAAAACCGGGTTGAGTTAGTGTCAACCCGTTTATGGCCAAGTCAAATCGGGTTCGACCCAAACCCGATCCGTTGACCCGAATTAACACCACTATCTCAAAATAAGTCAAATGTGTTTCGCATGGTCCTTGAAAATCAACTCATCTAAGCTAGCTATGTTCTCCAATCAACTCTTTCGTTGAAATGTCTCTCTTTGACCGCAATATTGGAAGTACACTTATTTAACTTCTAGTCTATGTGAACAATATCATTATCACAAAAATTTACTTTGAAATTTTGATGAATAAATTCGGTCAGGTTTGTTTCCAATGGTCATTGCAAAGAATTTTTTTGCCATTTTTTCCTCTGTGGGTTCTGGCGGCTTTTCATCAGAATGAATTTTTTAATGGATTTTCATAGTAGAAACTCATTTATGGTGGGTTTTTTTCTCCAATCAAAATGAATTTTTAAGGTGGATTTATGGTCGTAAAAACTCTTTTATGATGGATGAAAAATCCATAAAAAAAGTAGTTTGATTTTGTTTGTTATTCGGCAGATTTTTCTTCTAAAAATCATGATTTTTTTTTGTAGAGTAAAGTTGATGCCATGTAATATTTATCAGTCTTCTTTCCCGGCTATTCTCTATGAAGGATCATGATAACAATACCTTGAATATGTATGCCACCATAATTGCTGAGTTTTGATGGATATGTTCCCTACTCACTATATTTGGGCAAATTATTACGTCCGGTGTCCGATTCGTCTGGACACCAATCCTGACGCGCCACGTCACTGAAATACATTGGGTCCCAATGTAATTTGGTAACGTGGCGCGCCCGGATTGGATGTCTGTCCGGTGACCGGACGTAATAATTCGCCCTATATTTGGCATCCACCTTCTTCAAGCCCAATTACTTTATTGTAATAATTTGGGTGTGCGGGCTTCAAAAATTCCTTCTCTGGCCTCTCTCGCTTTCGGGGGAGTTTTAACGGATTAGATTCTGGGGTAAATTTTCAGAAGACAGGTTGTGTTTGAAATAAGCTACAATAGCTCTAGAGCATAAGACATCAAGCTTCACCAGAGAGTAGAACAACTATCAAACTTTTTCACATGAAAATTTGTAGATGCAAAAATAATTTTTTGTTCAATGATTTCAAAAGTAGAAAACAATGTCCTATTTATAGGTCTTTCTAAGCATAGATAATTTTGAAAAGCTTTAGAAGCCAATGTAATATTATTACATGAATTGATCACTTATCAAGATACATACGAAAATTTAAGAAGCAGTAAGAAAATCGTTCCAAACTAAACCTTAAACCACTGGCGTAAAATTCATCTTACTAGTTAATAGATGAAGATTGAATCTACAATTTGGTTAACCGACAAATATTGTTTAATAAAATTATTTGGATACTTGATCAAAAATATTTAATAAAATTTTAGTGACTTATTTGCAAACTAAACCCCTACAGGTTCTTGGAATGACTGTCCAATTAAATGGGAAATATCTCAATATCATGCACTAGATATGAAAAACCTCCACAAAAATATCCATGTGATATATTGAGCTAGTTTAAAAGATCATTTGGGGTAATTTATTTCAAGTCAAAAATTTATGTGATGAGAAACAACTTCTTATGATAAATTCTGCTTGAGTTTGGTAGCTAGAAGAAAATAATTTTTCGACTTATTTAATAAACAAGATTTATATCACTCACATCAACTTTTTGATAAATTCCGCTTGCCGGCCCTATCACCGTCACTTAGCACCACTGCCTACCATGGCCACTAGCCATCGTCACCAGCCATCGCCTTCAATCAGGTGCTATTGGCTACTATCATTATTAGACTTTACATTACATTCTTTTTGCTGCAAGCCAAATATTTTTAAAAAATAATAATATCTGTATTCCTTTTATACTCATCAAAACAACTTAAAACATTTCAAATATACCATATTCATTCGACTCTTCATTCATTTTTCACCAAATCAAACAGCCTCATAAATTATTTGTAAAGCAACTTATCATAACATATAAACCTGTAATGCAGCTAATTATAACATATAAAACATCCATAATTTTTGTTGAATGAAAATGAAAAGATTTGCTGTTGAAAGCACACATTTATATTCCCCCTAAAGAAATTATAGAATAAACTATTAAGGGTCAATAAAAAAGGGGAGAACATATACTTTTATAAACGGAGAAAATATTAATTTTTGTACTAGAAGCCGCTTTAAAAGAAAGCCGACCCAAACGCAGCCTTAAATGTCATATACCATCTATGTGTATGAAGCTACTTCCTGGTGACTTCATCAATCTCTTCTGTTTCATAATTTTCCTAATCTTTAGAGCCTCATCCCACCTTTGATCAGATGCATACAAGTTTGACAGCAAAACATAATAATCTGGAGTATCTGGCTTCATCTCCATTATTTTTCTAAGTGCCTTTTCTCCAAGATCTAATCGTGGCTTCCGCATTTAATTTCAGCATCGTTGATTTCTTTGTGGTGTTTTGGTTTGTAGTTTTGTTTTAAAAGATCTTTAACAATCAATTCACCTCTCTCTTAATTAGCCTTGGGCTAGTTTATAAGGGCCTAACATCCCTAACGAACTTTCAAGTGGTATCAGAGCACTTTCTAGTGTCATTTGAGCACTTTCACTTTCTAAGCATGGATAATTTTGAAAAGCCTTAGAAACCAATGTAATATTATTACATGAATTGATCACTTGTCAAGATACATATGAAAAGAAAATAAGAGAAATAAGATAATAAAAAATAAAAAGTTTAAAGCTTTCAAAAATATGAAAATTTGAATTAGCCAAATAAGGCAAGTAAAGTGGCCTTGAAATCAAACAATTTATACAACTTGTTGCTTCATTAATTTGTATAGATCACACACTCATCGACGGACTTCAAATTAAGTTTATTAATTATTATGGGTCATCCATGGGCATGCATGAAGAGTTGTAGAAGATGAATAACTCAAATCTTGATATAGTGCTTTAGTTTATGATCTTATCCTTAACCTTTTCTCATGGTGCTGCTTCAGCCTATTAAAATTTTGCATGTTGTCTAGATGCCGTCACAAATTTTTTCACTTCACATGCCACTGGTCCCATTATCACCTTCAGACACCATCAATCTCGTAGCCATCTTCCCATTATGCATAATACTTTTTTTTAGACGAGGAAACATTGTCAATAGGCCAGTTAAAACCTCGGTCAACCTAGCGGGCAACCCACACCAATTTACCCGAGCCGACGGATGCATAAGACATTAATGCATTCTCTAATAAAATTTCGATACTCTACTTGTGATAGGCGATGGAAGCTCCCTCCCGACAAGTATGTAGAGAGAAAGATGATCGAATCCCATTCTCAACGATATCTCATTGCGACCTCCTCTTTGGCCTATCACAACCTTCCTCTTTGTCATGGTCTAAGATATCATCATTAATAGAGTTATAGAGAATGATATATTATATAAATAGTACATTTTATATGTTACATATAAATATATAGTTTTTTAACTAAAAAGCTACTTTAAGAAGCAATAAGAAATCCGTCTCAAACGAAACCTTAAACCACTAGAGTTACATTCATCTTACTAGATAATAGATCAAGATTGAATCTACAATTTCGTTAACCAACAAATATTGTTTAAAAAAATTATTTAGATACTTGATCAAAATATTTAATAAAATTTTAGTGACTTACTTGCAAACTAAACTCCTGCAGGTTCTTGAAATGACTGTCCAATTAAATGGGAAATATCTCAATATCATGCACTAGATATGAAAAAACTTCCACAGAAATATGCATGTGATATATTGAGCTAGTTTAAAAGATCATTTGGGGTAATTTATTTCAAGTCAAAAATTTATGTGATGAGAAACAACTTCTTATGATAAATTCTGCTTGAGTTTGGTAGCTAGAAGAAAATAATTTTTCAACTTATTTAATAAACAAGATTTATATCACTTGATGTCTAACATTCGCAGTTGATCCCCAAATGATGCCTACCAATGTCCAAAATCTATTAACTAAGAACATTTAGACTCTATTTTTCATGACTATGTTGCCCCTCTTGTAAGGATGACTTGATTGATCACTAATCTTCACTTGATGCCTACCATTCACAATTAACTAGAATTATAAGCATCCAACATACCACTTCCTAACCATAGAATCTTACCTTCTACAAAGAGAACAATCTAGAAAATTGCTCAAATATCATTTAATGCTATACTATCATTATAAAAATTATCTTTTAAAAATTCATATTTATTATTAAGGTCTTATTCATTTAGGGAGTAAGATACCCTTATAATAGTATTCTTCTCAGTAATTTTTCAACTTTTTGACAAATTCTACCTGCCGGTCCTATCACCGCCGCTTACCACCACTGCCTCCTATTGCCACCAGCCATTGCCATCCGCTGCCTTCAGTCAGGAACTATTGGCTATCACCATCATTTGACTTTACATTACATTCTTTTTGCTTCAAGCTAAATATTTTAAGAAAATACTAATATCTCTATTCCTTTTACACACATCAAAACAACTTAAACTATTTCAAATATACCATATTCATTTTATTCTTCATTCATTTTTCAGCAAACCAAACAGTCCTATAAATTATTTGTAATGCAACCTATCATAACATATAAACCTGTAATGCAGTTAATTATAACATATAAAACTTCCATAATTTTTGTTGAATGAAAATGAAAAGATTTGCTGTTGAAAGTACACATTTATATTCCCCATAAACAAATTATAGAATAAACTATCAAGGGTCAATAAAAATTAGATAATGGAGAATGTGTCATGTCAGCAGTACCTGTAATGTACAATGTGCCACGTTAGCAGTACCGAGCCGTGGTACCGAACGAAGGGATGACGTGACGTATTTTAATTGGTCTCCAAATGATATTTTTCGTCTGCACGGAATAATTAATCTAATAAAAAAGGGGAGAACATATACTTTTATACTGATTATATGATGCTCACCAAACCATTCACTCGAGGTGAATAATAAACTGCACGAATTGACTTCTGCCAGAAAACATCAGCATCTGAAACTTTTCTCTTCACTTAAATGTCATCTACCATCTATGTGTATGAAGCTACTTCCTGGTGACTTCATCAATCTCTTCTGTTTCATAAGTTTCCTAATCTTTAGAGCCTCATCCCACCTTTGATCAGATGCATACAAGTTTGACAGCAAAACATAATAATCTGGAGTATCTGGCTTCATCTCCATTATTTTTCTAAGTGCCTTTTCTCCAAGATCTAATCGTGAATGGACTCCACATCCATGAAGCAAAGCTCCCCACATACTAATCTCTGCATTCACAGGCATTCTCTCCATGAATTCTACTGCTTCCTCAAGCCGTCCGGCTCTTACTAGCATATCAACCATACACGCATAATGTTTCATGGATGGAACTACATCATACCGTTTAGACATTCTATCAAAAAGCTCCTTACCTTCCTCCACCATTCCAGTGTGACTACAAGTCGACAGAATGCTTGTAAAGGTAACATCATTGGGTTTCAAATCTTCCATCAACATTCTTTGAAGAAGATCAAGAGAAGTACCAGAATCACCTTGCAAACCATAGCCGCCCATCATTGCACACCATGTAACGGCATTTTTATTTCTCATCTCATCAAATACTCCACGAGCTGATGTTAAATCCCCACATTTGTTGTAGAAATTTAGGAGAGAAGTACTAACATAAATATTTGAAAGAAAGGAAACTTTGATAGCATAAGCATGAAATGAGTCTCCTATATATAGTGAACAAATAGAAGCACTAGCTGAGAGAGCATTCACTATTGTTACAGCATCAGGCAAGTAACCTTCAAATCTCATTTTGTGGAAGAGTAATAGAGCTTCAGATCCAAAATTATTCTGAGAATAGCCTGCCATCATTGCATTCCAAGTGACTAAATCCTTCCAAGCCATCCTTTGAAAAACATATTCAGCTTCCTTAATGGCACCACATTTTGCATACATATCAACAATTGCATTCATCACAACATTGTAATCTTCTACTCCTAGCTTTATTCCAAGTATGTGAATTGACCTGCCTATATTCAAATTGGACAGTTGCGCCGAAGCTGAAAGAGCACTTGCTATGGTGATGGAATTAGGCATTATGCCGGCCCATTTCGGGTTCGAGAAGAGTTTCAGCGCATCAGCTGCGCAACCATTCTGCGTGTAACCAACGACCATTGCAGTCCATGAGACGAGGTCTACATAATCTAGTCCATCAAAGACAGCATAAGCATCAGTAACTTCCCCACACTTGACATATACATCCAACAATGCAGATCCAATGAAGGAGTTCATAGCCATCCCTTTCTTCAAAACATAACCATGAATCCATCTTCCTTGAACTAAAGCATCCATTGATGAACAAGCTGATAGTATGCTACCCATAGTGTATTCACTAGGTTCTACACCTGCTAATCTCATCTTGTTAAACAAAATCAATCCCTCTTCAGCGCAATCATTCTGAACCAAACCAGATATGATTGTGGTCCAAGAGACCACATCCCTCTCGGAAATTGTATCAAATAAGATACAAGCTGATTTCAAATCACCGCATTTGGCATACATGGCAATGATTGTATTGAGAAGAAAATCATCTGGGTTCCCAACCTTAGTTATATGGCAATGAAGCTTCTTTCCCTGGTTAAGATCCAGCAATTTAATGCATGCATTCAAAACAAGCGAGAACAAGACATTGTCCTGCACTAGAAGGAACTCTCTAAAACGCCCGTAAAGGTTGATCGCATCTAAATAGCAGTCATTCATGAGATATGATTTCATCATTGCTTTACATGAGTAAAGATCTGGGACAGTAATTTTATCGAACACCATGCGTGCGCATTTGGCGTCCCCCAAACCAGCATAGGAAGCAAGGAGCTTTGTCTGGAAAGGGAGGTTTTTGGCCAATCCATGGACGAAGAGCAAGGCATGGGATTTACGGAGAGAGAACAGGTTGGTACAAGAATCTAACAACGAAATAATCTTGCCTGGGACAGTTCTGGGTAACTCAGTGGAGTAAGTACGGATATGGAATTTAGTCGGGTGGAATAATCCCCGACTCCGGCAATAGATGCCGGCGAGAGAGCGTAAAGCTTCGGATTTTGGTGAAGGAATCGGAAGAAAGCGTTTTTGAAGCGCTGGTAAGACGACTGCCATCCTCCTTCCATCGCCGCCGCCCCCGCTGTAGCCTGTTTAGGAGGAGGGGGCCAGAGGAACCATACAAATTGTGATCTGAAATTGGGAAATTTATATTTTGATTCAGTATAAGTAGAAAACTTGGAGATTCAACATCGCAATGTCTCTCTATAATAAATATCCATTAATCTTAAGGATCAAAGCTCCCGTCGATCATTCAAATGTTGATGCTTACTAAGTAGGATTTGATAGCTTGTATGACATTTAAGTGGATCACTTCAACTACCATTTTTACATCTAATCACGTGTGAATCAATTGTTGCTATCCACCTCAACACCACCTGAAGCTAGGACATTCTCGAGAATCTTTCCACACCCAAATGAGATGAACTCATGCACTATTACTTTTTTTGTAGCGCGAGAGAGTGGGAGCTTCAAGTTTGAGAGATTATTTGAGAGAAATGAAATCTTCGTTCTCTCCTACATTGGATGTGGGTCATGGTAACAAATAACTTAAAAATAAAAAATTATATGTGACCCTAAACTCTAAACCCTAAACCCTAAACTCTAAACCCTAAACCCTTCACCAAAAATATTCTTGGTGAGAAACAAATCACTTTTAATACTAAATTCGGGATCAACCGAACTCCAATTTCAACAAATTTATAATCAAATTGAATGTCTAAGTAAGACTAACCCAACAACGTCAAAATCAATCTAATCTAAGCCCTAATTGACTCAAATGAAGTGCTTAAAGCATATTTAGAAGTTCCAAAATATTAATTTGATGAAATTGATATCCAAATATGACATGCTTATAGTTGAATCGAGTGGCTCGATGAGAAGAATCCAACGAGCCTATGATCACTTAATTTTGGCATCATTATGACACTTAAATAATGAATAAGTAATTTATAATTGAGGGAATCAATATGGGTTGTTCGATGAAGCACTCCAAATTTGTTTTGAATATTCTCCATATTTATATAGCATGCCACTCTCAAAATATATAAATAGACCACTCTCTTCCCACATGAAAGGGGCTTGGACCTTTTGGAGTCTTAACATTGGGCTAAAGATTCAAGAGAGTTCTAAGGCTTGAAGAATCCTGGAGCTCTACCTCAGCACCACCACCGATGAACCCTCATCATCAGGGTACCATTGCTGGACTTCTGCCATGCCATCGCCAACGGACCTCTGTCTGATCGCCACCACCAATCCTCCATCCGACCTTCGTCAACAATTTAAAACTTTAGGAAAAAAAATGAAATATTCCTTATAGTTATTGATAAAGAATAATATAGATTAAGTCCTTTGATCATCAAAAGGTGGGTTGGTGAATCTACCCCCGAGTTGGCTCTAATTGAACTTTTAAAGCTACGAATGTATCAGGAGGCCAAATGTAATACCTTGTATAATAATAGTATTTAATCCATTTTAACCTAGCCCGATAATTTTTGTATGTTAGAGCTTATGCATTTTTTTTGCAAGTGTCTAAGAATTTTTTGTCTACATGTGAATGCCTGAAATCCATCCTGAAGTGTCCCATGAGGGTATGTATGCTTGAAATCTAAAAGTTAAAATTTTCCCAAGGGAGTGATGTAAAGGTATTGAGCTCTTTGTATTTTAAGAATTTAAAGGGGTGTGCTGCAGCTCTGGATTTTGGCGCGGCGCAACCGCGCTCTTTATTAAGAGTGTTGCCATGTTGGAGTTTTAAAGCCTACTAAGACAGATCAATATTCATAAAAATTTCAATACCCTCTTAAAATTCATTTTGGCAACCCCCCTCCCCTTACGCTAGCTTAGTGTAAGATAAAATGGGGTTCAAGTGACTTCAGCCCTTTTTCTACCATCGATTCAGTTTGAGGTAAGTTACATTATGTCTATCTCAATTTTTAATGATATGAGAAATTTTAGAATTTTCTAATTAAAATTATACATTTGCAATGTTCAAATGAATATAACTTCACACATGTTAAACTTTCACTATATAATTTTTATATGATATAGATATGAGTATTCTTGACATTTAAATATTTTCTTAAAATATTTCTATTGGGCAGAGTAGAAAATGCACTGGTTTAACCAATTAAAAAATTAACTTTGTCCTCAAAAAATATTTTTGTAGTACATTTAAGGATTCAAAACGATGTTCAAGAAAATCCTTAAAAAGTTGGCACAAATATGAAAATTACAAAATTTCTACTCAGTCTGTTAAATATGTTGACTACTAGTACAACATTCTTTAATAAATTGCATTATATATAATAGTTCGTATTTTAACTTTGTCAATTTTTTTTTTCTGGGGTCATTATAACTCCAACACACAAATCGTTTTCTCCATATTATTTTGATTCTAGTATTTTACTAACATAGATTTTTTTGAAAATTTTTGGGCATCTATAACAATTCTTAAGAAATTGATACATATCGGTACAATTGCAGATTTTGGGACCATCAGGTGTCCGTTTTACAAACCAATTTTATCGATATTTTCTAAATAAAATTGTTTATTTTATAAATATTTTTTATAGTTTTTGAACAATTAAAATGATTTATTTAAATTTTATACTTAAAAATTGACTCAATTAAATAGTATTATTAATATTATACTAATATTTTACTATAATATCTAAAAGCACTCAAAACTTCTTTCTTAAACCAATAGCCTCTTTGATTTCAGCTAACAGAACTTGATTTGAGAAATTATGAGAGAAACGTGAGGAGAGATAAAAGAGAAGTCCATATTTGAAGGTCATGAAGCGATTTTGGTCAATCAAGCCTATTGGGAGAATTGCTCATCCCGGTGTAAGGAACATTTGCGCTATTTCTAATTTAAAAAATTTTATGTTTTTGTTATTTTTCTGATCAAATTTGTATTTCCATTATAAAAAAATGTGAATAACTTTGTATTGGCTAAACTTTCACTGCGTAACTTTTTTGTATGCTATAGAGATCGAGATTATAAATATTTTGAGTTTTTATTTAATATTTTTTACTGAGTGATTTTAAAATATAGTAGTTTTTGTCTACTAAAAAAATTATTTTGATATTTAAAAATAGTAATTTAGTTCAACAAAAACTTTATAATATTATTTTATACAATATTTGATAATTTGGTCAAATTCTGAAAATATGAATTTTTGCTCAATATAAATTTTATTGTCTACCATTAGCATTTTTTGAATTAAGCTTAATTATGTTTTATTTTTTGTAATATATTATAAATGAATATAAATATATGCTTAAGTAATAGTTAGTCACTATTACTATTATAATATTGTGTATTAATGCACGTGTCATACAAAAGACATGTAAAGATTGATTGACCCATTTGTTGGAGACTGACTGATTTGTACAAGATGGTCGGCTAACGGGCTTTCCTTTAAATACAATATTTTGGTGTTATCCTCTATTAACTCACATGATACACTGATTGAGAGTTATAAGAATATTGTTACTGTATCATCGGACAAAGAGTAATGACTCTATTTACTAAGTCAACAATTTACTAATATTGAAACTAACACTAAAAAACACTATGACATTCAAGATCTCTTACTTTTTATTTATCTTTTCTAAGAAAATATATAGTATTTTAATGTTTATCCTCCTTAATTTTTTTTAGTCAATAAAGAGGAAAATAAATAAATGTGCCTCTACTCATGCAATTTTCATATTTCAAAAATAATATAGAGTCTATTTTGAGAAACGAGCAATGGTTGGGCATTAAATGGTGAGATCCTAAATTATTTGTAGGTGACATCAAAATATTACTAAGATGTGTGAATTAATTAAACTCAAGAGAGAATGAAAATTTAGACATAGAAGCTTTAAGATTCATACTAATTTGTTGTTAAAAATACAAATTGATATGACTTAATTCAACAATAATATCTTAGAATATGTCAGACTCATCCTTGTCTCTCTATATATGGTTTATGGCTTAAATATGATTATAATCCAAAAGCTACATACGCTTCAAGGTTTTACTTATAATAGCTTTCTTACTGTTGTATAAAGCAGCTTAGTATAAGATTTTTTAGAAAATAATGAAAAAGTAGTGGTCAAAAGTGATCCTAAACTAAGCTTAAAACAAGATTCAGGCATTGTTTGGGTTGACTTTTTTTACTGCTTCTTAAAACAATTTTTTAATACAAAAATTTTAATTTTTATACTAAAAAGTTATTTTAACAAGCAATAAGAAAATTGTCTCAAATGAAATCTCAGCCTTATTTCCCCCAAAAAAAAATCTCAGCCTTTATTTGGAACAGCTTTTTGACGGCTTCCATCAGACAAAAAACAGAAGAATAACAGTAACCAATGAATAAAAAAAAATAGCAGCACCAGTGCATTTGTGATTTGCTGCACAAAACCCCTGCGCTAACTTTTCTTGAGTTGTCATCAATCAGCTTAAGTAGCCACCAGAGTTCAAAAGCTCTTTCATATTTCCATGGTCTCTGAATTTGAACTAAACTAAGCTGTTATATACAAGCTTGTGAAAATTGGACCGGACAACAAATCAGAAGAATGAGAGGTTCACGGGTCGACCAGTTCGACCAAGAATGAGAGGTTCATGGGTCGACCGGTCGACTGGGGTCGAACCAGATAACGTAATAAATAATAATATTATTAAAAATTAAAAAAAGGAATGAGAAATTTTCTTCTAAAACATTTACTCTAAACCTTGCTGCACCTAATCAAGATAAACATCTAGTTTTAAGAGGAACTATGCACAACCTGGGCATGAAAAGGATGAAGTATTGCTATAATTGATCTAAGATTGTAAAAAATGCAAATATTCTAACGCATCATTAACAAAGAAAAGCAAACAGCAAACTGCAGCATATAGCATATGGCACTAGTCTTGATGAGTTTGATAGTAGACATGGCAAACAAGTAGGATGAAATAAGTAGAAAGATTAATGAAAAATCCACTGATAGTTGAAATACAGTAAGTACATAAACAAGATAAGCACGTATATCTAAAAAAACCACCACAACAACAGAAGTTGGGGTAATAACCCCACCAACTACAAATATAAATCGACAACAGCCCAAACCGTAGAAAATACGCTCAACAAGCTGAACTTCGGAAAAAAAATTTTTTACATTTTAGAATAGGAAAAAATCAAATTAAAAACATACATAAAAAATACATTCCATTGATTCACATGATTCATGTATGTGTTTGAAAGAAAATAAAAAAATAGAGTTTAGAAACAAACGATACAAACAGAAGAGGCGAGATTTGCCTTCTGCTTCGCGAACGAGCAGGCTCTTCGGTGATGGCTTCCGGCTTCACGAATGAGATGAGACCGCCACGATATGGGAACGTAAAAAGGCAATAGACGAAAACTGAACACGCGACACAATGAAATAGGTTTTTTTTTTTCCATAATCATCACCCTTTGCATCTCAACGTCCGATTTCTCATTTTCGCGTTGTAGGTGAACTGGCCGGTTATCCGAAATCGGAGCCGGTTTGGCGGTTGAACCGGTGGTTGAACCGCCGTAGAGTGGCTGAACAACGGTTTATAATATAGCGGTTTTGGTTTGAATGTAACGGCGGCCGACCGGTTCGTGGTTCAACCGGTTGAACCGGCAGTCCGATCGAATTTTAAAAACCTTTTATATTATAATATATATATATATTATAATATATATATATATATATATATATATATAATATAATTGGATTTTTAAAAATAGGAAAGTCTCCATTCTTAATTTCCCAGTGTGAATCAGAAGAGAGCTTCAACAAAACAAGCCATGCTTCATAATCTTCGTAATATTGCTGATAAGCATCTATATATGAAATGAATGAGGGAAAACCTTAAAGAAGAACAAATGATGATTGATATTAAAACATAAGGAACAGTCTAGTTGACCATCTAAAAGAATTTATATTAATTCCATACTATAATAATGAGCAGACTAATTCATTACATATCTCCTCAGGCTACTCATATCAAAGTAGGGTGTCAAAATCTAATATGACCTGAACCTAACCTGAAAATTCCCGTTTGGGTTAACCCGTTTCATCATGGTCGGGTCCAGGTGTGTGTAATTCTTACCTGTTTGTAAACCGGGTCAAATTCGGGTTGACCCAAAAAAACCGAAACCAACAGTATTGTGACCCGTTTGTAAGCATCACGGGTGACCTATCTCGATTGCTGCATCACTCGCTGAGTCGTTGCGTCACTAAGTCACTCTTGTCGAGTTTAAGCTGCCGCTTCGTCCAGCTGCTATCCCGCCCACGCAGCTCTGTACCGCAACTAGCACTGGTAGCGCGGAGTTGCGGATGGTCAGGTACCGCTGTGCTCCTAACGACCGACCCGACGGACGGATCCGGCCCGCCTCGGGCCGCGACGCAGCCAAGACAAACAGACCAGGATCTGGCTTTGGAATTTGCTTCAGAACTGATTCTTCCAATATTTCAACTCAAAACAGACACACAGAGCTACTATGTACATCAAATGCAGCGGGACAAATCATTATTTTTCTTTCCTCAAAAAATACATCTACAAATACAGTACATGGACTGCAAAAAGAACAAAGAAGAAAAGCCATGACTGATAAAAATCAAAAAGTATAAATACCTATCACAGTTCAGACTCTGAACTCTACTCCTGGACTTCCTTCCCTTTCCCAGAACCTGAAAACCAACGTAGAAAGCATGGGGAGCTACAACACTCAGCAAGACATCAAAACCTCGCAATATCAAAATCCTCAGAGTCCACCATCAACACAATCAGACAGAAATCCGTACAGAAATCGGAACAAGAATTGTATTCAACTCAGGAACAGAATCAGAATCGTCAGTATTAGATCAAATCAGAACAGATATCGGACATATATCAAATCTATCAATCAGAATCAGATATCAGATCAAGAAACAAATCTACACGAATACGATCAGACAGAACTGTACGGAAAACAGAAGTCATATCAATCAGATTCAGCATAGTATTGTAATTATAGCTAAATTCCCTGACACTGACAGAATCTCTACGGATTCTGGCCCCTTATGCCTCCCTTTGTGCTCACGGCACCAGAACAGATGTGCTTATAGCACTTAGAACAGATGTTTCTATACCACCAGAAAAGAATTCATCGGATTCGGAGCCAACAGAATAGAGTATCAGATTTCAGATTGAGCTCATTTCAGATTTCGCCCAGACAACTAAGCTGAATCTCTTAGGATCCAGCCCTTATAACTCCCTTTATATAGCATATACAGATAGCATATCAAGTTCAGAGAAATCCGGACAAATTCAGAAATCAGACAAAAATCGGGAAGCACAACGGCTGTATACAGAATTTTACACAAATTTCCTAAAAATCACAAATTACCAATTATTCACAGATGTTCAAACGACATTGCAAGACTTTTATTCTACTGGCACAACATTTTTAGAGCATCGTGAAAAATTATCAGCGACAGAAAACACCGCGGGAATGCAAAAATACCCGTTCAAATTCTCCAGAAAATATCAAAATGTGCACACTCGGCAGCCTCAATAACATATCAAATAGTTACGCGGGTAAAACACTGAACCAATCGGGAAATACGGACGAAATTCGCCTAACAAAAACGAAAATCCGGACAGAAAACTCGTTAAAATTGCACCTTTCTGAAAATTGAGAAAGGCGGTAATTGTGCCTTACTTGCGTAGCAACATTATCTCGAACAATCTCGTAGACGAAAACGGCTCGGCGTCGCCCGAAAATCAACTTTTCCAAATTTGCCCTCGACCTTTCTCTCTCCTGCTGATATTTTAGATATTTGTATTTTCTCTCTCTCAAAATGACTTGATTTCAGCTTAAAGTGCTGCTGATCGGCCCGGCCGATCGCTACGAAGTCCTGATCGATTACACAAATTATCAATCGGCCTGGCGATATTACCTGGAGCGATCCTCAGCGACGATGCTCTCGTGACTTTTGCACCTGAACTGATGCGGCCTGGACATTCTCAGGACGATAATTAATTCCAGGATGATTTGCTTCTTGACTTTGCCTCCACTGATCGTATCGGGACACGATCCATCAGATCAGCCGCGACGATCCCTATCAGGAAATCATTCCTGGAACTTGCTGTACGAGATCTGGAGCAAAATTCGTGCACTGATCGTCCGGGACGATCCAATCGGCCCGGACGCATCCTAGAATGCATTTGATGTTACAAATCTCGCCCAACTTCAAAAAAATGTAGTCCTCGCATTGTCCAATCAAACGACGTCAGAACAAGTACGGGTACGACTGTCTCATGTCAGTATTCTTTGCTCCCAAGTCGCTTCCCGTGCAGTCGGTGCTTCACTACACTTAAACCATTGGAATCTCTTACTTCATAGCTTTCGGACGTCGTACGCCAAAATCAACTCTGGCTCTCCTTGTACGCCAAATTCTCTTGAATCTCAACCTCGTCACTGACCAGCTTCTTCGCCAGAGTCAGATACCACTTCCTCAAGTGGATACGTTTAAACTTATGCACGTCAGGCATCGAAATCAAAAGCAACAGTCTTTTGTCTAATTCATGTGATTTTGTTAAGACAACTTTCAATCCTTCCAGGATTTTAAAAGGTGCGCAACATACCTTGGACTAAGCTTGCTCACACTGGCCAAATCTGCTCACACCCCTTCATCGGGCTGACTTTATGATAACAAAGTCACAACTTGAAATTCAACAAACGTGCTGTGCTTTCTGATTGTAATATTTCTGCTGTCGATCCTGAGGCGCTTTCAATCTTTCTTTTATCAGGCTGATGCTTCTTAACCAGTTTCTTCAACAGAAAGTGGCACCAGTTGCCTGTCTATCCCGTGCTCAGTAAGTCAATAGGGTAACGACCTCCTTCATAAACAGTAGCCTCGTACGGTGCCATATCCGTACATTGACTGAAAATGTTGCTTATAGTGGCAATTCGATCAAGGGTATGCATCTTCCAGCTCCGTCAAAGTCCAAATACAAGCCTCAACAGATCTTCCAGTACCGTGAATGGTCCTCTCAGACTGTCATGCTAGGATCGCTACTGAAATGCAGATTTTTTTTTTTTTTTTTCCGTACGCGGCTAAGCCTTGCTGGATACCTTCCAAAGTCGGAAGTTAAAACCGTCCGCTCTCGATCAGAAACTATCCTCGAAGGCACACCGTGCAATCTGATCAATTTCCTTCACTAAAACCGTCCAAATGCGATCCCCTGGATTGGTCTGTCTGATCAGGAAGAAAATGGGGGGGACGCTTCGTCAATCTGATCTACTAACGCACAATATGGCGTCGTGTCCTTGTCTAGATTCGACGGATAACCATCAGCAACGTCCCATCGTTTACGCTCGCTCCCACTTCCGACTCAGGGATAGGCAACGACTGCACAGTCCCCTGGTCGCTGATGCTCGGCCTCAACCAACTGACAGCTCGCATCTCGACACAAACTCTGCCACATCCTTTTTCATTCCAGTGCAAGCCGAAATAAAGCTTGCATGTCATGCTACATCTTACATGAATCCTGACTGAACAGTGTACGCTGAATGCTTGACGTTCGATCGAGGGGAAATCTCCTGCTCTCAATCGCCGAAACACAGTACCACAACCTGTTCTTCAGAAAATAGCCCACCAGAATTCAGTAAAGTTGCGAAGTTCAGGAGTCTTACCGACATATCCAATCTGAGCAATCACTCGTAAATTAATAGACATCTGACTCGGACTTCTTGAAATCCTTGCTTCGCAAAGAAGACTGAATGCTCATCTGAGCCAAATCCAACCTACTGGAGGAAAAGTCAACCTCACACTGTAATCGCTCCATGTCTCGAATCAATGGAAATCATCGCTACTAGTGAGCTGCAAATCGTAATAACTCTGAAGACTTCTGCTCAGCGTCCGCTACCACATTAGCCTTCCCGGCTGATACCTGAATGGTCAAAATCGTAGTCCTTGATCAACTCGAGCATCTTTCTTCTGCAGATTCAGTCTTCTGAGTGAAAGATGTACTTCAAACTCTTGGATCCCGTGAAAATTCTCACATCTGACGGCCATATAGGTAATACGGCCAAATCTTCAAAGTTAAACACACAGGGGCAGCTTAACCTCCAAAATACATGCGAACGGGATAAATTCTTGCTCATGTGGTTTCAAACTGTGCTTGAGGCATAAGCAATTACCCTTCCATGCCTGCATCAGCACACAACCTAGTTGTTCAAGTGAAGCCACTGAACACCTGAAATCATTCCGTAGCCTGAACGTATAAGGCTAACACTGGAGCTGAAGTCAGACAATCCTTCAATCTCGAAAACTAAGCTTCAACTCTGGTCCAAAAAAAAGGTACTGCCTTCTGTCTCAGTCTCGTCAGAGGCGTCAACAATCTATGACAATCCCTTCACAAATTTTCCTATCTATATCCGACCATGCCCAAGACAACTACCGTACCGTCAAATACCGTAGTCGGCCTTGGCCAATCGGGCAACAGCCTGAATCTTCTGGGGATCACAGAAAGTGCCTGCTCCGCTCAGCCATAAATGGGGGCCCCAGAAATGAAATGTTCTTCGCCAGAATTCACACTTGGAGAACTTGCATACAGCTGACTGCCGCTCAAAGTCTACACACATACTCAGTGGCTGGGCATGATCATCCCAGAAGCAGAATATACTTGCAAATAGTCGTCGATGACAGACAATCACAAATCTGATCGCCAGAAACT